TGTGTGTGTGACAAGCATGCAACTGGTTGTTTCTCGATGTGCCATGTAGCTCTCTCTATGTCATGCACATGTACATATATAGACATATGATGTGTGCAAAGTCATATGTAGCAGTATATACCGCGATAATTACATGTGTGTGCATATATGTTCTGTGTAAGTACAGAAATATGTATGTATATATATATATAAGGGTGGATAGATAGATAGATAGATCGATAGATAGGTACATTGGTATATACCACTGATGGAATCCTTTACACTTAGGTTTCACTTTCTACTAAAGTATCAATTGGGAATTCATGGTGCTGCTGGGTATGTTCCTCCTCTCGTGTAGCTACTCACAGGAGTGCCTGAACAGCCGATTTCAGTTTCAATGTGCGATTTGAGACTCCGGGAAGGATCCCTTGGCAGCATCCGCTGTGCTGCAGAAGGCATTTTGTAGGGGCAGGCGGTTCCTGGCCGACAAAACACGTTTCATTGCACAGCCAAGCAATCTTCCATGAAACATAGGATGTCCTGTAGGGGGCTGTCGTGGCTGGGGAACATAGGTCCTGCGGTGGGATTACAAACCCGCCTCTGTGAGCTAGCTTAGCCAACATGTTGCCTCAGCTGGACCGATCATAGATGGAGTGCTCCTGAAAGGCGGCTGTGTGAAAATGAGATTTCCCGAGTGTGTCGTGCCTGGCAAACTTATGTCTGTGTTGTGTGCGTCTGAGCAAATCCTGACTCCATTCACGTGGGACTATTGAAAGAGCTGTGTCCTGTGCCCAGGTCTGCATGGTGCGAGGCGATGCCTGGCGAGTGCGCTTGCTGGGCCTTCCCGAGAACGGCCACGCTTTCGGTGCTTCAAGATTTGTGTGCTCGAAGTTCGGCTGATGTGCACATGTGCGAGTGTGATGTGAGACCTGCTGTGCTCATGTGACTCTTTTCGGGTTTCTTGCTCAAGCTGCATGAGTCACGCAGGGTTTTGAATTGATATGCCAGGCTCACCTAAAGTCGTCACGATGCACTCTTGTGTAGAAAATCATGGCCGTTTCGACGCTTTGCTGAAGCGTCTTTTGCGATTGGATGCCCCCAAGGTGGACTGGCCTCATACATTCGATTGCCTGGACAGTTACATGACATGACAGCAGTGCAATTCTATAGGGAGTGCCCCAGCCACCCACCACAAACCATTCCCCCGCACTCCCGGCCCGTACTCCTCCAATTCCTTACAATGTTGATTGCTTATCTTCCTTCCTTGCAACGGAGGTTCTTCTGGGCTGCCTCATCCTGATTTTCTATGCTGACAATGTTGACTTCAAGTTCTGCCAGGTGGGGGTGTTATGCATAAAAAATATATGCATGTGCCAAGGCTGTCTAGTGTGCTCTGTAAGTGAGACAGCATGTACTCGGCTGGTGTGGGAAGAGCATGTGTTGTTGTGCTATTGTGTTTGAGAATTCAGAACACTGCTTCGGAGGCTTTCGATGCCCTGGAGTTCTTTTGTGGTGCTGGCAACGTTTCAAGGTGCTTGAAGCTTGCTGGCCATGCAGTCGGGAGTTTTGACATCAAGCTTGGGGAGCCCTGTCCTGGCAAACAAAACTGCATGGATCTTCTAACGCCTGCAGGCATGTCGTGCTTTGGCCGTTCATTTGTACAAGGATGTGTGTACACGCAGTTCATGGGTTTGGTGTTTGTTGTGTCGGGGAAAGACTCCACTCCCCGGGCCCAGGCTTGCTCTCAGTGCCGTCCTCGGTGCTGTCGAGGACAGGTGCTTGGCGGTGATGGGGGTCGTGTGCTCAAGCTTTGTTGTTGTCAGCAGTGGCACACATGGTCGGACACCGTTTTGGCCACTTGGTAACACGAACTACGTGAGTGTGCGCACTGGCAACATGCTAGCATCCCGGACTCTCGGCTGTTCAAACTTGAGTTGTTTCTATGGTTGCTTCGTAAAGGCTATGGAGCATCGGCTCATAGAAGAGTTGCATGCGTGTATACACACATACACACCGACGTCATGTGTGACATCACTGGGTTCTTTATGTGGGGTTTACTCTGGGAACCTTTTGTGGGGTCGTTTTGTAGACACTTTATAAGCACACTCATTCTGACTCAACAAAGTAGATCGATACACAGATCGCTTTGTCTTAGCTGGATGTTTCTTACATTACATGAAGCATGGCTGCTTCCTCACTATGGTGTGTCCGTGCCATGCTTTGTGTGGTCGGGTATGGTTGCCTGATATGCAAGCATTACAGGGGCAAGGGTGGACAGTGTGGCTCACAATCAGTCCTAGATGCAATACTATGACTACACTATGACTATTATGATAACAATTACTCTACTACTCATCCTACTACTATTACTACTACTACTACTCTTACTACTACTACTACTACTACTACTACTATTACTACTACTACTACGACTACTACTACTACTCGTAGTACTACTACTACT